TGACTGACCGCTCGCTCGCACCAACAGGAGGAGGAGACATGTTACTCTCTACACTGCACTCAACCTGAAGGGATTCCTACACTTTCAGTCTTTGAGGAGACATGAAAAACAGCGCATACCGCAGGAACGGTATAACGGAAAATATTAGAGGTTTTGAAACCGTGACATTTTCAAATCGCGGTATACCTTGAAACCGGTAATCGGCCCATGCCTAGTCCACGTCCTCCTAAAACGGCTCGTTTTAAACACGCCCTCACATGTCTACATCACTGTGTGGGAAGATTTACATATCAGCGCCCAAATGTTCACACAAAGAAAGAAGGTGTAACTTTTATTCTTGATGTAGTATTGTTGTTGCCGCCGGCGCCATGTTGTGGAGATGCTGTGTGTTTAGTTGTGCCGTTCTCAAGGCCGCCGGCCTCTGTTCACTCAAGCCCACCTTGTGTGACGCATTTTATGGAAGACTGTTTCCTGAACCTGCAGAGTAGCATACAATGGGTCTGTGCTCAAAGGCTGTTCTATAAAGTGGGGCAGTTCCAACTTTGCAAGGACAGTCTGGCGCTTCTGACTCACAGCCTGTAAGTAAATTTTTTATATTTAAAGAATTTGCCACTGATGATTCAAACACGAGTAGCGCTTGTTGTTTGTCGTTTCTCCGATCATAAAAGCAGACATGGTTTTATGTTTACTTAAACACAGTATAAGTCATTATAATCAGTAATTATGTCCCCACTGGATGCAACAAATGCCTCGTTTGTAATGGGTTTTATTGGTTTTGTCTCGCCGTGCCGGGAGACGGCATCACAGTGTGTTAAGGGGCGTAACATTTCCGTCACACGCTTGAGGTATTCAGCCAATCACAACACACTGGATAGCTGCCCAATCAGAGCACACCTCGCTTTTCAGAACGATGAGCTTTGCAAAAATCGACGCTTTTCAGAAAGGCGGGGCATAGAGGAGCAACAATAATGTACATTATGTGGAAAATAATGTGTTTTTGAACCTTAAACCGCATAAACACATTGCATTACACCATAATGTTCTACATAATGTTCTTTTTAGCAACGTCATATGACCCTTTTAATAATTTCATATTTTTGATGCTGTTGCTTGCTTCTTATAGTTCATAAGACATTTTTGCAGGTGAAATCAAATTGAAGTGTGCTTTTATCTCATGGGATTTATCTGATGTCACGCTGTTCACTGTTTCTGCCCACCGCAGTCCGCCGAAGTAAATGCGATTTTACCTGCTAATTACCAAGACAAAAACAGAATAAAGGAGAGTATGATTAGAAATGCAAAAAAAAAAAGAAGCTTATATCTGACCCTGTGGTAGGCTGGCGGGGTGGCGGAGGTGAGTGCAGATTGGTGCTGATGGAAAAGGTTCCTTCCCTCAATTACGCCTGTTCCAGGGCATTCAGTGTATAATCACACGGAAATAAGCCTGCGACATGACTTTAATTGAGGAAGTTAACAAGGTTAGCTACACTTCACCAATTTCACACTGCACAAATCACTCCGCAGACCTTCAAAATGAATATCTATAAACCTTTTACCCAAAAACAAGTGCTGGAGAATAAATTTAGGCAATCATGTCATTAATCTCCTGATAGAAATGGGAAACTGGCAGACCCTCTTCTTACACTCTCCAAGCTAAAGGAAGCAATATAACGTAGCTTAACTGTTCCTCTGCTGTGGCACACCTGATGTACTCAATTTTCTTTTGCTGGGGAAAATTAAGGGCTGAATTTAATCTTTAATTCAGTTGTTTTCACACCTTTTGACCATGCATACATTTACACTACCACTCAAAAGCTGAATTTATTTGATCAAAAAACAGTCATTTGTGAAATATTGTTACAATTTAAAATAAGTTTATTCCATTTTAAAATGTAATTCATTCCTGTGTTGACTTTTTAGCTTTTTTGTCTTCAGTGTCACATGATGCGTCAGAAATCATTCTAATATGCTAATTAGATTTCACCTGCAAATCCTTTATGAACTCTAAAAGGCAAGCAACAGCATACAGATATGAAATTGTTAAAACTTGAATATGTAAGAAGAACCGGGGCTAGTTGTCACATAAGAAACATTTCTTATTATTATCAACAGGTTAAAAACAGTTGTGCTGCTTCATTTTTTATTTATTTATTTTTCTTTTTTGGAAAATGTGATACTTTTTCAGGATTCTCTAATGGTTTTTCACAGGGGCTAGTTGTCACATAAGAAACCAATCTTATTATTATTAACATGTTGAAAACAGTTGTGCTGCTAATTTTTTATTTTTATTTAATTTTTGGGAAAATTTGATACTTTGTTTCAGGATCTCTGATGAATAGAAAGTTTAAAATAACAGCATTTATTTGAAATATAATTTTTTTATAGCAATATAAACTTACTGTCATGTTTTATTAATTTAATGCATCATTGCTGAATAAAAAAATAACTTTTAAAAATATCTTAGTGACTCCACACTTGTAGGTAGTGCGCATGACAAATAAAATTCATAATAAAAAAATAAAAAATCACGCATTTGATATTTGTAAATAAAGCAGTTACATTTCAGATGGCAGGAAAGATAAAAAGGCTTGAGTTGAGAACAAAAAAATAGAAACATACATCTACTAGTGGTTAAACGGATCGTAGTTGATCCGTGATCCGTACGGACCAAGCCCCACGGTTCGGCACGCATGTGATCCGCGGATTAAATGCAAAATTTAACCATAATAGAGTATAAGTTTATCATTTGTTTGTATTTACACAAGCAAGCGAATTTTAAACCATTCCAGAGAGAAAAGGCGAAAGGGAACTCGATTCGTTACTCGCGCGTTGTTCTCTAGTACATGCACAGCCGCACACACATGAAGCTTGCACACGCGTTTCAGACGGCGCGAACACAAAACTGAATCCTCTTCAGAATCCTCTGAACAGACACATACACATAAAATTATGACAAAATACCCATCTCGACAATCATTCAGGTAAACGCAGTCAGTTATGTCTCAAGTGAATGAAAACAGCTGAGAAAGAAATCGGATGTGATGTGTATCATTATATCGGATCCGTGCATCAGGTCTTAAAGGGACAGCGGCATATAAATATTGCTGCTGTCATTAATGATCATCAAACAACAAAACAGCAGTGATAAAAATCTATATTTAATTTATACAGTAAACACTATGCAGTGTTATTTTCCCTAATTATTACATTTCTGTATTTGAATACTACCAACCTTATTTTATTTGTAACATATTCTGTTGTATTTATCTATGCTTGTAATTTGTGTATTTGTTCTTATTTTTACTGGCTGTTCTCTTGTCTCTTTAATCATGTTTAAACTTTCTTAGTTAATCTAGTAGTATTTGCTGTGGTATCAAAGAAGTACTTTGCTTTAAGTAATAAATGGAAAGCAAGTTAAATTTAAATATTTTTATTTTCATGCTGATCCTAAAAATGATCCGATCCGTGGGTCAAAAACCATAATGTGATCCGATTTGTGATCCGTTGAACCACTAACATCTACATTTTGTCTGTTTTATTAAGCTAAGTATTCCCCAGAAGTTCGCCGTTCGCCTATTTCCTTTTCCTGTCAAGATGCCACCTTCCTGCAGAGCTTGTCTGTGATCTCAGTGAGAACGAGTGAAAGGCGCTGTAGGCAATCACCTGTAAACTAAGCGAGCAAGATCTTTTGTTTGGATCCTTTTTCAAGCTCCAGGCACTGATTTCCAGACCCGCTGAGTGACTCCAGGTGGTGAAGGGCGGCAGACCTTGTGCGGCCCGTCTGCAGCTGTGGAGGTGATCATAGAGGTCACAGTGAAGGTCAGGGGTACGGTGTCCAGTCACAGCATTAGTGAAGGGGCTAATGAATGCTCGTTCATGCCTCCTGCCTCGCTCCCCGTAGTGCTCCCTATTATTCAGACCGCTGTCTGTCTCTCTGGTGTCTGATCAGTCAGCGGAGCCGCATCCGCACTGTCACGGCGCTGAGGGATGGCCGCCCGTTCCCTAAATGCAAGCTTATGACTCACACGGATGTACCAGCCGTCATCTGTCTGCGCGCTGATTTGCTCTGATTGTCCAGCGGGCCGCGCGCTGGGCATCGTTAACCCCTCTGTCACTCCAGAGAGAGTGATGAACTTGGCTGGGGGTAAACATTGCCCTTAAAGCACCCCCACACACATCCAATAGATATATGAATTTCAATTGGATTTCAAATGGTCTGGACCTTGAGAGGACTTTGGGTGAGCTTTGTCAGTGCACCACTGTAGGGGAGAGTGCTTATATATTCAACCCCCTCAAGCGCAGAGATCAAGACCAAAGATTCACCTTCAAAATGACATCAGGGCCTTTGCGGTTTCTTTTTTTATTTTTCTGAATGGCTTATATTGAGTTTTTCTTCAGTTAATGCGAAAATGAGTGTCGCTGTTGTTGTTGCTCATACTTATTACTGCATATTTCTGCACAAAACTTCAGTGTCACTCGTCGCATACTTTTATGGACGTGAAAGATAACTCAAATCATGAGGCTTATTGAGGAGTGATTACTTTTCTAAGCAATCAGATGTAAGGTTTTCATTCAGCAAATGATGAAACAGGCTCAAAATCCCATGGACTGAAAAGGCCATAAGTGTCAGAAGAATTTGAGGATGGGCTTTTTTGATTCCCAGCAAACCACCTTGCAATGTTTTGGCAACAGCTAAAGAAAAAGTTATATTCTAGGATTATTTATTTACTATTATGACATTTAGTAATATTTTGTATTAGGTTTTATTTCATAATTTCAGTTGCATTTTATTATTAGTTTTAGTTAAAATTTTAGTAATTTTCTAATGTGCCTAATTTTTTTTTATTATTTAATATATTTTTTATTATATTAATATTTAGCTTTATTTTATGTCAGCTTTACTTTTAATAATTGTTGTACTTCAACTTATTTCAGTTAGGAAGCATTTCTAGTTTTTTTTTCATTCGTTTTTCCCTTAATATAATAAAAAAAATAATATACAAATATGTCTGTTTAGCTTTTTTTTGGTTGTAGTTTTAGTCATTTTAGTTCTTCAACATCAGTTTGTTATTTCAAATTTTTTCAGGTTTTTCATATAATATTTATAATATATTTCAGCTTTTATTTTAATTAACAAAAATTAACAGTTATTAATAGATTTGTTAACAATAACGGCACTGTACTTGAAACCACTCGCAACACATCATTAGTATTGTATTAGCAAAGTTATTTGGCCAACTCTGAAATCGTGGCAGTTTTTTTTTTAATGTTACTTTTAAGAATACGTTTTTTCTGCATTATCTTTCAAAATCGTGTCATCTTTTTGGAATGTTACCAGATTTGATATTAGAAATGTCATTTTGATAAATATACAAGAGTTGTAAACATTTTCTTACTGAAAATGATGGCATATTAAGGTAGTGAACAAATACAGTGCTGGTATACAGCACTTTTTAAAAAATTATTTTAGAATTTCATAAAACAATGATTTGGTGATTAGTGCTTGTGCTGGTGATGCTAGTTTGAGTACAGCATTTCGTGATCTCTTCTTGTCCTTTTTCTTTTTCAGTCCGGTGTGTGTGTGAAGAAGTAAGTGTGTGTGTGTTACTGATCAGTGGTTGGGTCATTTCAGCAGTTACCTCTGCTCATTACCAGCGCGCCACACCTGATCTCAGGTCAGAGCAGCTGCGTTAATTGTGAGATTCTGTTGGATTACTCACAAAAAGCTTGTGGGCTGATCTCCGTGGTCTTCAGCAAGTGATGTGTCGATAACATTCACTTTCTAGCAGCGCTTGCTAAGGTAACCATTACTTTTACTATTGCTATACATAGGGTAAGTGATTTGATTTGAATAGAAAACTAACTCATCCCAATATGCTCACAACCACCCACAACACACCCACAGTAAAGTTAAAAAACACTGAATTTTGTGAAGAAGTGAAAATGTAAAATAAAGTTGCAACTTTGTTCAGGTATAGCTTTCTTTTTTAATCAGCTAGATCAATGTTTAATTAACTAGAGAAATAAAAATATCCTCAGAGTAGGTGTTTGAAAGCTTAGCTACCACTGCTAGCATGCATTTGCTGAAATGTTAATCAAATGTGTGTGTGAGTGTATATATATATATATATATATATATATATACACACACAATTTACAAAAGAACTGTTTTCTATTTTCAGTTTATTTTAAAATGTAATTTAATCTTGTGACGGAAACCTAAATTTACTCCAGTCTTCAGTGTCACATGATCTTTCAGAAATCATGCTAATATGCTGATTCTTTATATGATTTGCATGTTTCAGCTTGATATTCATAAATGCAAACATGCCGTAGCATCGGAGCAAAGGCCTGCTCTCACCGGACCGTCCGAGAGTCTGCTTTAATTGGTTAAAAAACCACAAGTGTCGAAGCAATTAAGATGACAGGTGAAACTGTGCAGCAGGCATGTACATTTAACCTTACTTGTCCACTTTGACAGATCCTACATTCTCCCGCCGTATATGTTACCATGGTAGCCACGCATTTGATTCTGTGCAACTTTAAATACCTCAAAACGGGATTTCTGACCGATGGTAGCACCCTTAAAATTACAGTTTACGGTTTGTGTTCTTGTTATCTGAATGGACATTTTTATGGTTAGATCAGCTACAGCTGGATTAGGAATGTCACATCTAGAATGCTTTGAGTGATGTGTCAATCAAATGCATATGATCCTTCAGGCGGAGATCTGCACACACCGAGCCATGCAGGTCTCTGGCTCTTCATTTTTCAGTCTGCTGTGTTTGCAGCTGTTGGTTATCCCCCTGATCCCAGACAGACCCAGGCCGGGTGGTTTTGACAGTTCTGACGACCGCTGTCCTAACCCTCAGCGCACGGAGTAATCTCACCTCACCTGGCGCTCTCTTCCCACCTGTCCCCAGCCGAGCTGCACCGCTGACATCATTAAACTTGCATCCAGATGCCCGAGCAGACTGACACAGCTGCGTCTATCGGGCAAGACAGATTCAACACCGCATACGCGTGTGTTCAGCACAACCTGTGCCATGGATGAGAGTTAACAAAGCACTAAAACACAATTCAGAATAAAACTGAACAGGTTTGTGACTGGCAATGATCTCAACATTTGATCATTTGACTTACTGTGACAAAGGTTTTTTACTGTATTTCAGATGATTAAATAGTAACTTAGATTGGGGTTACACTGGAGGGAGATTTCAACATTGTAGGACAACAATTTCAAATCCAACTTAGATTGTTATGCTGATAACGTATGATTAAAATGTGATTAATATAATATAATATAATATAATATATTTTTATTCCATGTTGGCTTTACTGTAGTATATACTTTGAATAATACATATCTTTTTTAAATTAAAATTTGGAAGCTGTTTTTATTTAATAGCAAATTAAATTCAAACCCACGTTGCACAATATGAGTACTGCAACTAACCACCAGGCCAAGTGTCTGTCAAAAACATTATTTTATTTATTAATTTAATAAAAAAAAATATTTTATTTTATTTTATTTTTATTTTTATGCCTTTATTTGATGGGGCAATATGTTGTTGTGACACAGGCCGATCAAATGTCATCAACACATGCACTATCCACAATGCCACAGCTCCGGCCTTTTTGTTAATCTTTCTTGACATTTCTTAATCATTAGATTTCTATAGAAAGCTTTTGGCTCTTCGTGTGCATTTTATTTTTTCTACACCTGATGCTTTTAGTGCAGCATTCATCTGGGCTTTTTTAACTCCTTTGTTGTATTCCTAAAACACCCTGTGATTAAAAGAAGATACAATTTGCTGCAACCCCAAGATTATGAACAGAATTATTAGTTTCTCCAAGAAAAAGTGAAGAGCTGAATTTGTGGAGACAACTAATTCATAAAGGTAAGCAATCATTAAAATGGCAAATCCTGGGAGGCCTAGGTTTTATTGAATTGTACTTTTCCCGTCGAGGGTTCATTTTGGTTGAGATATAATGAAAACAATGAACTGGGAGATTAGCTTCCTCCACATTCTAGAACCCCATAATACACTCATCATGGAAAACATTCAAACGCTAGATTATTACTGAAGTAAAACGATAAGGTAGGAAGCAGAGAGAAAAGGGGGAGAATAAATCAGCTTGCTAATCAACAGCTCCTTTCATTTGAACGCATTGGATTATTATTTATTTTTTTGGGAGGGTAATAAAAAAACGGGAAGGAAAGAAAGGAAAAATTGTGTATGCATTTGATTGCGTTACAGCTCAGAAAAGCCCCGGCACTGTATCTAATGCACTACACTGCAAGGCAGTCTTTTCCTGAGCGCCGCTCTCAAAGCCCAGCTGAATTGCTGTGACCTAGAGCAATTCTTGAACAAATAAGATTGCCTTCGTATGTGCATTATTTTCTGTTGACATTTGCTAAGCACTTGGGCTGCTGGCCAGGGGAGACGGATGAGGGTCTAAAATGTGTCTGGATGTGCCGTGTCTTTAATGTTACCTTGGGAGGAGAAAAAAAGACAATGGTATTCCTGTCCACAGCCGTAGCGCAGAGCCCCGGCGTGTCAGAGGAGGGAATAGGTTATTTTATTCTCACTCTTTCTTGTTTTCGCCCTCTTTTTTTCTCCCCCGAGCTACAGTTTTTGAAAAGAGAGACAAAAACGCTCAGCAATCAACTGAAGGTGCCCCTCTCACAGATTCTCATTTTGATCTGTTGGGTCTCATCTTTATGAATGTGTTTATACATTTCGACCTGCCATGGAACATCTGTTTTTTGGGTCAGCTTAGAATTTTGTAGCATTTTGTTTTTCCCCAGAAGTCCACTTAGAACATTAGTCAAGGTTTTTTGCATCAAAACAGTCATCGTTTAGTTTTGCATGGCCGTTTTTCACCTTCTCTCTGACCCTAATAAACAAGCTGGATTTTGTTGCTGTAACTTGCAGGCTTCTATATGCAAATGACCTCTGTTGTGATTGGCTAATCATTGAATACAGGCATAGTTCATACACTCTAAAAAATGCTGGGTTGTTTCAACCCAACTTTGGGTCAAATATGGACTAACCCAGCTGTTGGGTTAAATTTTTTAATTAAAGTTTTAACCGAAACGTTGGGTTAGTCCATATTTGTCCCAAAGTTGGGTTGAAACAACCCAGCATTTTTTAGAGTGTACTCAGGGCCTAAAACTAACTTTTTTGCCACACCTGCCAATGGCCGGTGACATGATAAAATTTACCGGCCAAAATTTTTTTTTACCGGCCATGAAACTCTTTTTGCAAAAACAGGCTGTTATTACTACTACAATGACTATATTTACAATGTTTTTAATCTGTCCTGCTGGTGCATTTTCCCTAAATTTTACCTATTAATTATAGCCATTCAACATTACAGTATAATTGAAAGCCATTATTTTTAACATTTAATAGGCTCTGAAATATATAACAACTTTTAATTTAAGTGATTTTAAAACAATCTTCACATAAACTATATTATATATGCATAAACTATACATAGTAATCTTTATTCAAGCTACAAAAGTTAATCAGCGACTAGAACAGTCCAAGGATTTCTCTTTTTCTTTTGACTTCATCAGGTTTCACTTTAAAATCAGTGCTGTCTCTTTAAAACCTGATTCATATGACGCGGATCTGACACATATCCGATTTTCTCCCAACTCTTTATGGTCATTTAAGACTTTATAACTCATTTAAGACTACGTTTACAAGGTAACTCGCCAAAACCGCGCAT